CGTGACGTAGTGGGTGGTTGGCGGTTGCTCTGGTGTGGTTTGCTCCTTCTTTCCTATCAAACATCTATCGTCTTTATCTCCCTTCCTTCTTTTTTGTCTGTGTTACTCGCTTGTAACACCTCTAATCTTCGTCACTTATAAGACCCTATTGTGTTGCAAGGACCGTAAAACTCTTACAAAAACTAAAAACTCTTACACTAAAACTAAAGGCGTGACATAAAGGCTGTGGTGTTGTCGGTGGTCTAGCTGTTCGGCTACCGGACTCGTAATGGAGGAATTGCCGGGGGTGGGGGGAGGGGGTGGTTGAGTTAAGTCTGACGTTACCCCTGGGAAAGGCCCTTTATTAATTTATTCAGATTTTCCCATTTGGATCGGTCCTATCGAAAATGAACGTTGAGTTCGGAGGTCTCGCTTCTTGATTAATGAGCGTTGCACGGGGCGCTAAACCTGCACAATTTCGCATATCGCACCTAAAGTGGCGTGTTGGTTTGACCAAAGATTCTGTACCACTAGTATAGAGAATCCTTTGCGTGGATGGCGCCTTTAGCTAGACATATCTACAGAGCCAGTTTCTCCCTTCCTCCCTTCCTTCCATCCTTCCTCCCTTCCTCCCTCCTTTCCTCCCTCCCTTCCTCCCTTCCTCCCTCCCTCCCTCCCTTCACCCATGACCTCCCCCTTCCTCCCTTCCTCCCTTCACCCATGACCTCCCCCTTCCTCCCTTCCTCCCTTCCTTCCTCCCTCCCCTCCTCCCTTCCTCCCTCCCTCCCTTCACCCATGACCTCTCGCGACCTCCCGTAGATTTTTATGCATTCCACACCTCCAGGAGCGAAGATGGATATAAGATTCTCCTCGCCTCCAGAACGGGGGGACTTCCCTATCAAACCCTTTTCTCAGATGCTGATATTACCCGCGATAAAAGTAGCGAGTCCGGCAACAGATCCCCGGCCGTGTAGGGCGTCTTATCTGCCTGAAGCATTTAGCGGCGGTGGTCGGGGAGATTGGTCGCTGGTAGAGCTGGGCGAAAACTCGATTCTGGAACCGATCCCCACGATTAATGCTACATACGGAAGAAAAGTTCCGACTCGTTTTTACGTAAACCAACGGTTACCAGTCCATTCGATCATAAAAATCATCTTCTTTAAAAAAAAGAAAAAAAAAGAAATTGTTTTTGAAAAATAAAAGTTGATGCTTCGTAGTGTTCCAAAAATCAAGGTTTTGCTAAATCCTGAAGATGTTCGGAGCCAACCAGATAACCACTGGAAGAAATCACTTTATTAGAAAGTAAGTAATTGGGTTCGGAGTCGGTTCCTACGATTCCTAGCTTTCAATAATCGAGAACCTAGCCGCCCAGCACTAGTAGGTGGTGCTTCGGCTTCGTCCTCCGTGTGAAGTGGCCCGGGCGCGGCTGAGAGTTTTACTCTGAATAAATTAAGGGAGTGTGGGAGTTGGGAGATGTGTGTCCCCCCCTGCCGAAGACGTCCTGAGCATACATGTAGTGGTGTATTTTGTGAAGTCTTCCGTCCCCACCCACTTTTCCCTCTTATGCTCCGTTACAACGGGTTTTTTTTGCTCACACTCACAGACACCTACTGTATGTGGATGGTTGGCGGGTGCTCTGGTGTGGTTTGCTTCTTCTTTCCTATCAAACATCTATCGTCGTTATCTCCCCTCTTTCTTTTTTTGTGTTTGTTACTCTCTTGTAACACCTCTAATCTTCTTATGCAGTTGCGAGCGCCGTAAAACCTCTACTAAAACTTAAGCACAAGGGGGCTATCCCGAAAAATGCTGTTTTGAGAAAATCGAAGGTAAAGTTTTTGCCCCTTGTTCAGTTTCTAAAAAAAAAACCAAGGATAATTTTCTCTATTATAACCAAACAAATACATACACACCAATTAAACCAAACTTCTCCTATAGGCAGGGCAATGCCCACTTTTGGTGTTGGTCAAGATATCTGGAAACTCCCGAAATCTGGGTTAGCCCGCTTGTCCTTAAAATCGACCACATTTAGTGGTGTATTCTAAAACAATTCGCTTTTTGTCGGTCTTTTGCCCACACTCACAGACACATACGGTGCAACTCCTTGTTGTCTATGTTACTCACAGAAGAGAAAGAAAAAGAGAGCAGAGAGATAGAATATTGTCCGAAAAAAGCTCCACTCTTGAGTCGCGCCAGCAGCATTAGCACCGGCAGCAACAGTAGGAATAGTAGCATTAGCAGCAGCATCAGCAACAGTAGCAGCAACAGTAGCAACATCAGCAGCAACAGTAGCAACAGTAACAGTAACAGCAGTAGCAACAATAACAGTAGCAGCAGATGTAGTAACAGTAGCAACAGTAACGACAGCTGCAGCAACAGTAGCATTAGAAAATCAGCGACAGCAACAGTAGTAACAGCAACATTAGCAACAGTAGTAACATCAACAGCAGCAGCAGTAGCAGCAGCAGCAGCAGCAGCTTTAATTCAGCCTTTTTGTCCGCCGTGCTCCGCCAAGCTCCGCTCACGGTCTGTTGCCGCTATCTCAGCCCGATGATTACATTTGCAGTGGAGGGGCTTTTAATGTTCCTCGATTTGATGCTCCCACTTCACTACGGCTCGAAATTTGGATCCTTTGAGCTAAAAGACTTCAGGGGGAAATGCGGTTCTCTTCGTTTCCTTCCCCACTTTTTCATGCGGCCATAAAGCTCCATCTGGAAAGTTCTCCGAAAACGGTGACTGATGATGAAGGCTACTAGGTTTCCTCTTCTTGCCTTGTGAACGTGTTGGTCTTGTGAGCCACTGTCGGGTGTACTCAGTCGTGAGTGAGGGTGTGTGTGTGTGTGTGTGTGTGTGTGTGTGA